TATATATATATATATGTAATTAATGAAAACTCAACAACTGCTCTGCTAAGTATTATTTGGTTTAGTTTCAATATTTTGGCACGTTTTCCAAAGTGACACTTGTTTTGATACTTTGAGGAAGATACACATGTTTCTTTTACAAAACCTTTTTTTCCTTTAAGATAAGAAATTCACACTGAGTCGATTCACGAGAACTGATGTGAAGTCAGTGTAATCTGTGATTTCTGTGATTTCTTCTAGGGATCCATTTGCTGCTCACAGGCAGCAGATGAGGGTTCTGTTTGGACCATTTGGCATGGACCCGTTTGCCCTTGCACCCCAGATACAGGCACCTCGTGCACCACGTAGACAGGTAACTCTCTTAACTTTAAGGACTTATTCATGTGTTTTAAATGTGTCATGTGTTTGATATCGACATAAGTTTATCGGTTATATTTTTGAGATTTGAGTTTAAAGTCTACATTTTCTTTTAGGCTGGTCCGCTGGCCCCCTTTGGCATGATGGGAATGGTGAGTAGCTGCTTCAATACCTGCAGAAATAGAACTTTTCATATTACAGATTACACATAGATAAAGATACATGTACTAATATGTTGAAATTCAAGTTTATACTGATACATTATATGACCAAAAGTATATGGTATTAGCTGAGAAAATACACAACTTGTACTTGTCTCTGTTTGTTTTTTTCCACCTTAATAACAGAATTAGCAGCGATCAAACATGATTTGTCATTTAAAAATATGATTATATGAATTGTTTGCCACACAAAAGTGTGTTAAGTGCATCTTTTTGCTCTGACAGTAAGGGTTTGGGGGATTAAATAATGGCCCTAGTTGCACTGAACTGCCAGTAAACACTGTTTTAGAGGTGTTCCACTGCGTTTCATCAAATGAGACTTCCTCCTTTCATTTATTTTTGCAGGGTGGAGGGTTCATGGATATGTTTGGCATGATGGGAGAAATGATGGGAGGCATGGTGAGTAGTTCTGTCAACCAATTTCAGATAAACAGAAAGTAATTACCCTCCTGAATGAAACCAGTGTCTGAACATTACTCTAGTCTCACCTTCTGTTTACTTTTGTTTTTGGTTCTTCTTATAGGAAAGAATTTCCGGTTCACCAAACTGTCAGACGTTCTCCTCGTCAACAGTGATCTCCTACTCCTCTACAGACTCAGGGCCTCCTGAAGTTTATCAGCAGACCAGTCAAACAAGAACAGGCCCTGGAGGGGTGAGAATTATTACAGTATACGATTACTCTCCTCACTGGACATGTGGCCTTCATGCTTTGTTAGTCCGGGCATGACTGTGACATTCTGGCCTCGTTAACACATGAAATCACCAGTAATTGTAGTGACAATAAATACATCATGTACAGTATAAATATCATAGTTGTCATACAAACATTTCGGTCCGAGTTCGTCCAGAGTTCACAGCATCACTTCTCACCTCAGATCCGTGAGACGCGGCAGTCCATGAGGGACAGCGAGAGCGGCCTCGAGCGTCTGGCTATCGGCCACCACATCGGGGATCGTGCACACATAATGGAGCGTTCACGAAATCGCCGCACTGGAGACCGCGAGGATCGGCAAGACTTCATTAACCTTGATGAGAGTGAGTCACTGGGCCAGAGAGATAATGATTGTTTACTATTACAACTCAAAGGAAGCACAACGTGTCCACAACAATGTTATTTAATGAGCTGGAGGTTGATAATGCTGCAGTGACTTCAAATATGTTATTTGTGTCACTTAACCTGTCCACTGTTCCCACTAGGTGATGCTGCAGCGTTTGATGAGGAGTGGAGGAGGGAGGCCGTAAGATATGTTCCCCCGAATGCCCGGGCGCTGGAGTACGGCCGAGATCGACGGGCAGGAGGTCAGCAGCTGGCCCTTACTGCCCCTCCCAGCTCAACGTCCCCACCAGGCCATCGGCACGAGTCCCCCAGACACCGTCAGCCCCAAACCCGTCCACGTTACGACTGGTGAGAGGTAAGAGAGAGCACTGAGTATTTACTGCTGCTCAAGTTCAGCCTGACCCAGACAGTTTTAGCTAAAAACATGTGTATTTGTTTTGGGGAATATGCCGGCTGAAAAATAAGTAAGTACAGAAATGGAAAAAATATTTTAGTGGTATCTATGCAACATTGTGATCATTACATATCAAGCAGTTTATTTTTTTACTATAAAAAACTTAAAAATGTATGTTTATGTCGTGTTTAGTATTAAAATATTTTCAGTTTCAACTCCTCAATTGTTAATATCATTATAGGCTTTAAAAATCCCGCATTGGTCAGGCTGTATTTCATATGTCTGCTTTTTTTCCTGAATTTAAGCACATGTAACAATGTTAAGAGGATAAAAGAGATGCTAGATGCAGACAATCCTTTGTCCAGATACTGTGTAATAAAAGCATTCCAGACATGAGATGGTCATAATTTTTACATTGAAGTGTTGGGTTGGGTGTTGCTTAGCTTATGTTAATCAATAAAATATCTCTGCACACCTAAATAGTGACAGGTGCAGCATGATAACAATGAGAGACTCCCGCACACTGTCTCACTTACTGCTGAACATTACGGTCTACACGACCTTCATCAGGTATACATATAAAGCTTTTAATGGAACCATTACAGCAGGTGTCATTTTACATTTGGATTTTCTTGTTATTGTTTGATCATTTTTACATAATTGATCTATTTAAATAGATTTCCATTTGAATTTGCATTTATTCTGGTTTTAGTGACCCTCAAACACCCACAAGAGGGTAGCCAACACTTGTAAAATGATATAACACTAGAACAATAGTGGTAAAAATGTACACCGTACAATAATTGTGATTTTGCAGGTCCATTGCATGTTACACTGTATGAGTCAAATAAACTGTATCACACTGGAAAATATAAATTTGGAGGAGTGGCATCAACTCGCTATCCATCTGTACCACTCTGTTTGCAAACATTTGTGAATATAGGTCGTAACAGGAGTCTCATTGTGAGAATTTTTGATGCGAGCTGTCTTTAATCAACAAACTGCTAAATTGGCTGTTGTTGGACGTGTCTCAGTGCGATCTAGGACCACCATTTTGGACTGACAGGTTGACTGTCCCTGCAGGTGTGACACTTGGCCGACCAGATGAAAGGAGTTGAGGGAAGATTTCCCCGATGCTGTGAACCACGCTGAAGATGGAAGTTGATGATCGTCACAACTGCCCGTCGTAAATGTTTGATATGACTGGACTGTCTTTACATAAACAACAAACACACACTCAACAAACCCCCCCCACACACTTGATAGTTACATTTACAGTTCTCCTTCTCCACTGTTACGCTCCACACACACACACACACACACAGACACAATGGCACCCTTGTGCAAACATGGGTATAACTACGCTCACTTTATATATACTCATTCTCAAAACTTGACGTGTTTTTGCCCACTGCACTAAAGTGCTACAGTATACAGTACATCTGCTGTACAGTCCATTTTATGTTTGTGAAGACACTAGTGTGTCAGTGAATTGAATTGTATACTGTTAACTAATTAATCTAACTAAATAAAAGTTCATTAAACATTGTTAGATAATTACAAAATGTGTCTCTGTTGTGGTTGTTTGAGATTGAATGTATTTAATGTGTATTTTATAAAAAACAAAGGTTTGTTTTGGCTCCTCTGTCTGTATTTAATCTAATTCTGCTGCTGTATAAACAAACAAATCAGCCATACATTTATCCCCCCATTGCATGTGCTTGTATTCGTTTGCTCCCCTCCACCCAGTGCCACTATGTCTTCAGGTCATGTGACATCCAGATGGAGCACACAAGTGGAGCAGCCAATGAAAACCATTCTTTCTTTTGACAAATCACTCCCATAGCAGGCTCTCTGCCTGCCTCCGTCTGTGCTCGCTGTACCTTTAATTACATCCACGACTATTTTTAAATGCACATCCTCCCCCCAGCATGCACTGCTTTTGTCACCTGTCTTACCTGTCTTCTTGTCTCCTTTAATCCCCGTCATTCTCTGAAGTTACCCAACAAGGCATCTCACTTTGTGCATCTGCCTTTGCTTAGATGTATCCTCCTCATCGTTTCTTTGTTTTGATATTTTCTGCCTGTCATCCACAACTAAATATGCAGATGTGTGTTTCCATTACTCTAGCAAACCCTTACTTTTACGCCAGTTATGGCATTCTTTGCAGGATGACAGAACCTCCTGCATGCAACCACAAATTACCTTTTCATGTTAGCGCTTTGCTGAGACAATATTTGCACACATGTCATGAGTGCTGCTGTAGTTAGATGGCAGACGAGCAGATGTACGCTCAGCAAGCAATGCCAGACAAATGAGAGGACTTGTAGGAAGTCAGGAAGACGGTGTTAAATGAAAAGGTTGAAAATGGAGCCCACTGAGAAAGCTCTTTCTTTTCCTCAGACATTTTATTTACATGTGTCTTCACTAAAACAGAAAAAAATATCATGCAAGCCCTGTTATTCCACTCTATCCCCCTTTTTTCTCCTCTCCCACTTTGGTTCCCTCCCCTCCTCTCTGCATCCTCCAATGACTCACGCTCCCCCTCCCCCCTGTGTGTCATATGTTTTCACCCCTTCTCCTCCCACCTCTCCGTCCCTCTGTCTCTCCCTCTCATTCGCCCACATCCGCTCACTTTCTCCACCAGGCTTCAAACACGCTGCAGGTAATGTTTAAAAAGATTGATCTATTTCTTCATACCCTCCATCCCTCTTAGCCTCCCCTATCCTCCTCCTCCCCCCTTCTCATCTCCTCATCTCCTCTCGCTGTGTGTTTTCTCACCATTTCATCTCTCCATTGGTCCATATTCATATTCACTGACTGAAACAGCACAGAAAATTGAACTGTTTGGTGGTCCGGAACAGGTTGACAGTAGATTAATAAATAGGTATGCATTATTAGCTTTTGATAAATGTTTCCTTCTCTGTGTATATGTGTTTGTGGGTGTGTGTGTGCCAGTGCCAGCATCTTCCTAGGGAGCATCTTTTCCACAGCTCTTCATCCCTAAGGCTGCGTCACTATCATCACAATGTGTGTGCATGTGACGAAGAGGAAGAGGGGTGTGAACCCCTTGTGACTAATGTGAAATTGAAGCACCTCAACACCGCTGTTAGCTAAAATGAAATGCGTTTTTGGCGTTTGATATTTTCATCCTCATCTGTCTCTCTGCTACCCCCATTCCCTTGCTCATGTACATCCTTTTTTTTTTTTTAAAGAGGCAAAATCAGATGGTAGGACTGCAAAATGAGCACTGAGTTGTAATGTGCAGTAGAAATGGTTAAATAAAGCTAATGTTTTCTTGCTTTTTACAGGATGTCCATAGTGAATATTGTTGCCAGGGAGATCCTGGACTCCAGGGGAAACCCAACTGTGGAAGTAGATCTGCATACCAGCAAAGGTTAAAAAACATAAATCCATTAAAAAGAATCACTCACGTACTGTATTTGTGACCTTGTCTGATAATGGGCTTGACAATCTAATCTTAACCTCAAAGGTTGTATTCACACAAGCTTCCTTTTACCTTTTCCACCCCTCTCTCTGCCTCTTCAACCTTTCACCGCTAAACATGTTTCTCTCTCCACCCACCAATCTTCTTTTCTCTATTCCAGGTCTGTTTAGGGCTGCTGTGCCCAGCGGTGCATCCACCGGCATTTACGAGGCCTTGGAGCTCCGGGATGGAGACAAGACTCGCTACAAGGGCAAAGGTGAACACTTAAGATGCATCTTAACAAGATGCATCGTCTGCGCTTCTGTCTCTTTTTTTCCCCCACCGCGTCTCTTCTCTTGCTTTGAACATTTTCTTTGTGGTTTTGTGACATAAATGTGGTCTGACAGTATTCGTTTTCCATGGATCCAAATATCTCCTTCTGTCCTGCTGTCTTAAGGTGTAACCAAAGCTGTTAGTCACATTAATGAGACCCTTGGACCTGCCCTCATGCAGTCTGTGAGTAGCAGTGCAGGATTTGATCAGTTTTAAGCAGAAATGGTCAAACAAGAATAAAGAACTGACATTTTGTTTTTCTGTCAGGGAATCAGTGTGTTGGAGCAGGAGAAACTGGACAACGTGATGATTGAAATGGACGGCACTGACAACAAATGTAAGCCTCAATCATATCTCATGTACAGTGATGGAATACATGTGCAATGACCCAGTGACCTTGACTGCATCCATGTGCTTATGTGACTGCTTCTGTGTTTCCCCCAGCTAAGTTTGGGGCCAATTCTATTCTTGGAGTATCACTGGCCATATGCAAAGCTGGCGCAGCAGAGAAAGGTGTCCCTCTGTACCGTCACATTGCTGATCTGGCAGGAAACAGAGACTTGGTCCTCCCAGTTCCTGTAAGTCATTGTGCAAAAATGGAATTCTTCCAAACACAAAGGCCCGAATACAATCTCATCTGGCTTCATCTGTGTGCTCCCTCAGGCTTTTAATGTGATCAACGGGGGCTCCCATGCTGGTAACAGGCTGGCTATGCAGGAGTTCATGGTACTTCCTGTAGGGGCGGAGTCTTTCCGTGATGCTCTGCGTGTGGGGGCGGAGCTCTATCAGACACTCAGAGGTGTCATCAAGGAGAAATATGGTCAGGATGCTACAAATGTGGGAGATGAGGGAGGGTTTGCTCCTAATATACAAGAGAACAGTGAAGGTAAACACAGCTACAGTGTAAAACAAAAAGTCCTTTCCTTAATTTCCTTTGGTCACCTTTCATCTTGCTATTTCTCTCCGTCAGCCCTGGAGCTGATAAAGACGGCCATAGAGAAGGCTGGCTTCACAGACAAAGTGGTGATAGGGATGGATGTTGCTGCTTCAGAGTTTTTCATCGAGGGCAAGTACGACCTGGACTTCAAGTCCGCGCCTAACGCTGCCCGCAACATCAGTGCTGATGAGCTGGCCAGCATCTACCAGGGCTTTATTAACAACTACCCAGGTGTGTATTCTGATGAAAATGTGTCTGATTTGGGGCAAAGATGTGCCAGAAATAAGTCATTTTTATCTAACGGCTGTTCTAGTTAAATAGATAACATCATATAGACAACTCCTATTCATTGTGGACCTTTAAAATAAGGGAAATGTATTGATTTCCAGGCTCGTGCAAAGACAAGTGGTCAGTGTTAATAGCTGATTGAATTTCTATCAGTAAATTGACACACCAGCCTATTTTTGACATTTCTACATTTGCCATATTTCTTTCAACACCTATTAGACAGATAAAGTAAGAAAACATGAGAGCTTGATGTCTCCACAGCCTGGTCTCTCCTCCTGACACTCGGGCCTGTTAAAGAGGTTTTAATTATGCGCTACAGCGCACATTTGGCAGGCAGGGACCTACTCTGATGTGGCTCTTTACCCTGTCAATGGTGTGCTTTCTGCTTGTGTGGGCAAGTGTGTGTGTGTGTGTGTGCATATGTGTTAAATGTGAGTGCATTTTTAAAACATTACTCCTATTTGAACCTTTATTGGCAATGTCACCAGAGCTCTTAGTCGTAAGTGACTAATGAAAAAATTAAGGGTTTTCAAAGCAGGTGGTAATATTACCTGTGCAAATAAATGATCTTACCCACATCTCTTTTCTCCAGTTGTGTCTATTGAAGATCCCTTTGACCAGGATGACTGGCCTGCTTGGTCACAGTTCACAGCGTCAGTAGGCATCCAGGTAAGATATCACACTGTGTCCTTGTTATGTGGAAGGGAATTAGTTCAGAGGATCCTTTAAGTAATGCACTTCCATTTAAAAAAAGGGTAAAAATTGTTGTAGAGGTCGTGATGTCCTGATCTTTAGCAATAAATGCTTTATTCTTCAGTTTCTGTAATGAAACTCAATAGCGTATTTCATTGACTCTCTTGCAGGCTGATCTTCGTGTGCAGAATCGGTGGAGTTTAATATCATTGGTTTATGGATTTACGTATATATGTAGGACAAACGTTAATACTTTCTGGGCTGAGTAGACTTGATACTATTACTCTGATTAACAAGATGCAATTCGATCTGTCTGTAACTTTGTTGTGTACATTGTGCAGGTGGTTGGAGACGATCTGACGGTCACCAACCCACGCAGGATACAGCGAGCTGTGGAGGATAAGGCCTGCAACTGTCTGCTGCTTAAAGTCAACCAGATTGGCTCTGTCACAGAGGCCATCAAAGCGTGAGTTGATTTTGTGTGTATTTGATGCATAGACAATCACGTGCCTGCATGTGAGATCAAAGCTGTACTGCCCCTGCCTCTCAGGTGTAAGCTGGCCCAGGAGAACGGCTGGGGTGTGATGGTGAGCCACCGCTCAGGAGAAACAGAGGACACCTTTATAGCTGACCTGGTGGTTGGTCTCTGCACTGGACAGGTAACACACACACACGCGTGCGTGCGTGCACAACACAATGGGAAGGGTTTTAACAGAAATAGCTCAAGTATAAGGTCATGTAGTAAACAGAAGTGGAAAGTAAACCTTTTTGCAATATAAATTATATTATTAAATAACTAAGTCACTGAAATCAGAAATGTAATAAAAAAAAAAATCTGATAGTGAAAATTACTGTAAGTTGCTGTCCGAATACCAAGTACCAGTAATGCAGCTTCCCTGTGGTTCTTTGTATTTTTTTCTCCTTTAGATCAAGACTGGAGCTCCCTGTCGATCAGAACGTCTGGCCAAATACAATCAGCTCATGAGGTTTGTATTCGTAGCTTGATTTGTATATTTGTGCATGTATAGAAATACATAAAGAACATCTTCAGCATCACTTACAGCACTTTTATATTTCTCCTCTTCTTTCCTTCTTTGTTTCATCTGCTGTTGTCTTTGTTCACATTATTTCTACCTGCTCTGCATCTTTCTCTTTCTCTTTCTCTCTCTCTCTCACCTCCTCTTCCTCTCAGGATTGAGGAAGAGCTGGGTGACCAGGCCCGCTTTGCTGGGCACAACTTTCGCAACCCCAGTGCACTTTAAGCGTCGTGCCATTAGCAGTGGTACACAAGAAAGCGCATATACACACAGTCATGTTATATCTCTCACACACACACATAAATGAGATAATGACACCTGTTTCAGCAAAGCTCTAAATACACTAAGACACACTTTAAAAGCATTAAGACTAATTTGTTTTCAAATAACCATAATGCACAGATAATGCACTGTAACTACAGTATATTGACCTGATGCTTCAGCAAGTGATTGACTTAATTGACTACAGCCGGCTGCAGCAAATCCTGAACAAAGCCTGGAGGAAAACATCATCGTGTTTCACCTCTCAGCCGACGAGCACTTTCCCTGATTGTTAGTTTCATTCTCTTTCCAGACCCCTCTGACTGTCTCTCTCACTGCAGAACTGTTTTGATCTTTTGTGTCCCTGTTGTTTCCTCTTCCTCCTGTTCCTCATGTCGTTTTTGATGTGAACACTCAGCAGCTTGCCACACAAATTGTGTCTGTTACTTTGTCTGTCTGAGGTTAAGCTTAATAAAGAAATGGATACATGTTAACTCGAACCCAAGTTCTCTGTGTATTTGTTTAAAGGGGGATGCTCTGCGGGGCTCTTCTCTTGTTTAAATAATCACTGAATATAATATGGCTGAAAACCAGAAAACCATCTCTGCAATGGTCTCTAGAAAGTAGGAACATACAAGCATGTTGCACCTCTGGCCACACTAAATATTGATGCTACAGCAGTTGATTGACACCTCTTTACAAACAAAGAGAAATATAAAATGGTAAGATTCTGCAATAATATTATCCCACAGGGTTTTGGTGATCATTTTTCAAAGGAAACCTTTAGAAATCTGTGGAATTTTCCGAATTTTCTGCAGGAATTTAGAATGATTCCAGCTAAAGGAACTAAAGCATTGATTAATTTCCACCTTTCATACGTCTGCATCTGCAGGATGGCAACAGCAAAGACATGTGTTAGGACCATTAAAGCCACAACATAAAATACAGGGTATAGTCAGCTGTCAGAGGCAAACACCTACTGTGAAATCAATGGCAGATTTTTTTCACAGCCAGGAATATTGACATATCATAGCAGGACAGGTGTTATTGGTGATGGCTGATTTCCATTTCGGTGTTTCAGGTCCAAGGTCCCTATATTGTGCATGCTGCTTCACTTACTGGCATGGTTACTGAGAAACTAAAACTGAGCCATTATTAATGTTTCACCTGTTTTATTTCTGCAGTGACAAGTCAACATTTCTGCATCAACTGCCTACTGAAGAGTCCCACAGGCTTAAAATGATTCAATCCACAGAGAGCAGTGCAGCAATTATTATTGTTATTATTATTATTATTATTATTATTATAGTTCTTGTAACATAAACGTAGTGTTTACAAACTGCTTTAAAATGTGCTATTTTAACATAAAATGATGAATAAAAGAACATTTTAATACCAATTAAATGCATTAAGTGTGTTACATATGAGTGAAATGAGCCACAGATAAATTGGTATATAAACAAAGAACATAAATCCTTTGTGTAGGATAGTCTACATGTTACTGAACTATTACATATTTAAAACGTAGTGATTAGACATTGTGATCAGCTGTCACTACATTGTAACGTCGCGCGGCTGCAGATCGATGATCAGCTGCACGCGCCGGTCGTTACACTCACTCGGGCGGCAGAGGGAGCGCGAGGCGCGACGAGCCTCTCCGCTCCTCGTCGAACCGGGCTGACGGTGACGGTGATGAAGGAAGGCTGGAGCATGCGCATGCGCACCGGCTACAGTCTCCGGCCCGGGTTTCCATGGTTACCACACAATAGGAGACGGGACAGGGGGCTGCGTGAAGGGGGGAGAGAGAGAGAGAGAGAGAGAGAGGGAGGGAGGAAGAACACAGCAGCGGAGCGAGGGTTGAGGAGGAGGGGAGGAGGATGGTCGGCCAGAGCCGCTTTGACTGGAGCACACACCGCTGCAAAGCCCCAGAGCGAAAGAGGCACGGCAGACAGACAGGGAGGAGAGACAGACAGGCAAGACAGGAGCTGCAAGGAAGAACAAACACAGCAGACGGGCACGATTTAATTGCCCATTTGTTAATTGTTTAATTAGTCCCAAAACGAGTTTGGGGAGGCTTTCTTTGTCTAAGGTCGCCTGACATTGTCATTAAAAAACCCTTCACAGCTTACTGGGACCTAAAAAGATCATCTCTTCTCTCTCTCTCGCGGGGGTGTGCCCACCGTCCTGGGTGCGTTCCTTGTTTTTTTTTTTTTTTTTTTGTTTTAAGTGTGATGGCTTAAGAAACAAAAGAAAGACCCTATTGGACTTCTCGTTCCTTTCTTCGGTGTTACACGCGAGATAGAAGCCAGAAGAGCGAGTTATTCAGTCTGAAGCAGGAGCCTCTTCTCTACAGTAAAGGTGACTCTGGAGGGACTAGGCAACAGAGAGAGAGGAAGGGGAAGAGAGACCGCTCCTCTTGGATCCCTCCTGTTCAAGTGAGTTTTGCCCTCTCTCTGCGCTCCTCTCTTCTCCTCTCCCTGCCTCATACTCCCTCCTTCTCCTCCTCCTCCTCTCTCCTGCCTCCTCCTCTTAGCCTCCCCCCTCTCTTGCTCTACCTCTCTGCGTCTCATGCAAATCCACGCCGTCTCCTCTTCTCCCTTCCTCCACCCGAGCGTGCATCCCCTTCTCTCCGTGGCTCACCCCCTCCGCTAAAAAATTGTGACTGTAAGACCGGGAGAGGGCGAGAGAGAGAGAGGAGAGAGAGAGAAGAGAGAGAGAGAGAGAAAAGAGAGAGAGAGAGAGAGGACAGAGAGAGAGAGAGAGAGGACAGAGAGAGACAGGAGAGGGAAAGACTGTCCCTCCAGGAATTCTTTTCTTTGATAATTTTGCTTTACAATAAATTAAACTGCAGATTAACACAATGCAGCATGTTTTATTCATGTATTCCAAAAGATGAAAGACTGAGATGTAGTTTTATTCTCCATTAGAAGTGTACTGAACTCTGTGCTTCATTCAACCTGTTTGTTGTTCGAATACCTTAAACAAACCTGGACAGTTTTACAATCAAGTATTGTTAAAAAAAATTATAGTTTTATACAAAAAAAACAACAAACTTTTTATTTTATTTTAAGTGCCACATTTTCCTTGAGTTGAGTTTCATCTTGTTAAAAGGCATAAAAGTTCTGCAAAGTCACCAAACAACTCAGCAAATCCTGGAGAAACAAGAGAGCTTGTTATGTGAGAAGAGAGAGACAGTGGCAGAGCGACAGAGCAGCAGAGAGAGAGAGAGAGAGACAGAGCAGTAAAGAGAGAAATGTGTGTTCTGCTTTTGTGTTTAGACTGTCATTGCATGAATTGTTACTGTACAAGAAAACAAACACATTGAAAACACTGACGTCCACCACTCAGAGGGAAACCGTTTGTCAACCAGAGAAATCCTTCCAACTGTGAACTGTTAATGAGAGTCACATTTTTGTGTCATCAGAAACAGCAGAGAGCTGGAGTGGTGCATCAGAATGAGGGAAAACTACTCATTAAATACAGACTAGTTGAATTTGTCTTTGACTGTCAAAGCCACAATTACCTCACAAAGAAGTGCCAAAACCTTTTAAGCACACATCGCTTGATTTAGCTGCGTCGTTCTAACTGCAATTAAAAAAAAGTAAAACAAATATTGTCAAAACCTGAGATGGCAAAAAAAAAAAAACTGCAAGATTCCTGGTTTCAGTATTTAAATACGAACTAACAGATATGCAGACTCTCTTTTTCTGGCCAAGACACAACTTTAAGGAACGCTGCATATGTCAGTGTTAAGATTTATGTCCTCAGGGGGGTTCAGTGTGAGTGCCACGCTCAGTCCAGTTTTGTAGTGTGCCCAAAAAACTAACAACCACAAACGAGACTGAACTCTGCTCATGAATTAGAGTTGTAAGTGGTTGTTAGATTGAGATGTTCTTCTACACAGAATAAATAAAGGTGAATCCACATTATAAGCAACTAGAAGGATTATCAGATATTATTTCTGGCCCACTGAGATTATCCTTTAACTTCTCTAAATAGCAGCGTCTGGCAGCTGCTCAGTCACAACAAATGTGTTCCACCTGAAGTGTGATGTGCGTTACTGATATGGAGATTGAGTCCGTGTCACCGGGGACACGACAAGCTGGCTGGATTCAAACGTTCATTTCACCTGAATGCGACTCCATCCTTTGTGTT